GTATTTGCTAACATTAGCTGTGGTACTTCCCAGCATGACAGTTCTTGTCTCAGGATGTGAGTTAGAGGAGACTACTAGTATTCTCCTTCTTTTCCATCGATTACCAAAATAAATTCCCAAGAATTTGTTCTAGAAGATTTGTATAATACATTTACCCCAAATTGTAAATTCTAGCACACAGTGTAATTTGTAAGCACTATAGTGGTCCTTTTATTCTAACAACTGTATTTCCTTTTTCTGGCCATAGCTTTCAGAACTCACTGATAGAAGCCATTGTTGTTGTTATGTGCCTTTGAGTGGACTCTGATGCCTAGTGACTTTGTACAACACAGTAAAATTCTTTTCTGATCCTGTGCCATAGACCCATTGGAAGTTGTTGTCGTCCTGCATGATAGCCTTGCTTAAGGTTCTATTTATGTGGTTATGTCTATTCCTTTTAGCTTTCAAACTTCTTGGTCCTTAAAATTTCATTTTTAATAATAAATTCCATTTATTGATGATAAAAAAGAAATTATGAGTGTGAATAGGATTTAGGTGCCTCTACAAAATATATCAAATAGCAATATGTTTGTGTCTGATAGTCTTTATTTCATTAGAGAAAAAGAATATTTCTTGCAAATTGCATAAAGCTGGTGTCTATATAATATTAGCCATAATTTTTCACTAAATTTCAAACACTATCTAATGTTTTTAGATGGGTCTTCTAATACAGTCATCAGAAATAACCCTAATAATTATATATACCCAAAAGCTGTGGCTTAAAATGTTCAGAAAGGTATCCACGTGACTCAGCAGGGAAAGAATGGAGTCAGAGTTTACATTCAGGTTTTTCTGGTCCAGAGCTTCACCACTGTAATATCCCACTTTATAAAATTGTCCCAGTGAATGACCTGTTACTGAAGACCAGAAATATCATCACTGTTTTCCATCAAATCTAAAATCGATGCACATGTAATGGATTGATTATAGCAAGAAAAGTTCATTTCTAAAAATTGTTTAAATGATGAAAGTTGAGTAGAAAGCTTTAAGGAGAGTACTGGAAATTAAAAAGGAACATTAGCCTTTTCCTATTTGATACATAGTTCCATGTTTCCCTTCTTGTCCTGAGATGAGGAGAGATGAGTCAATTGCATAACACATTAAACTAAGCCCTTAAGATACTGTGTCTGTATGAAGCCTAAATAACTTGAGCTGAGTGAAAAATAAAACCACTTGAGCCCAGTGTTAAATAAAAAAAAAAAAATAAAAAAAAAACAAACCAAAAAAAGAAATTCTTTTTTGAGCATTAAGTTGGTGAGGGAAAAAACCTACTAGGGATTTTGAAGCAAGGATTCTGAGGCTCCGTCTAACATACTTTGGACATGTTGTGAGGAGAGACCAGTCCTTGGAGAAGAACATCATGCTTGGGAGGGTGGAGGGATGGCGCAGGAGAGGAAGACCCTCTATGAGGTGGATTGATTCAGTGACTGGGATAATCGGGATGGGAGTGTCAGAGACGGTGCGATTGGCACAGGACAGAGCGGAGTTTAGGGCTGCTGTACATAGGGTCGCTATGAGTCGCAAGCGACTTGACGGCACACAACAACAACATATACTTTGACTAAAATGATAGCTGCAGTTAAAGTATATGCTTAATCTGAACACATTCTTTAATAGACAAAAGTGGGAAATATGAAGAGTTAATTTTGTTTTTATCAATAATAAGTAATGTCTACCATAACACACTGTTGTTTTTTGTCTTGTCAAGTCAATTCTGATTGATAGCAGCCCTATAGGATAGGAATAGATCTGCCCAATAGTGCTTCCCAGCTACAGCCTTTAAAGGGAGAAGATCATCACCAAGTCCTCCTTTTACATCTAGAACTACTGGTGGGTTTAAAAGGCCTGTTTTACAATTAACAATTAAAGCTTAACTATTGCCTCTTTGAAAATCTTTTACTATGCACCAAAAATAAAGCAAACAAACAAACAAAAAATCCCACACAAATAAGATGGTGATATCCCTAGAAATCTGGTCAGCTGAGGAGATATTCAAATAAACTTGTTTTTATTCTTACACACATTTGTATATAGATGTGAAAATAAAGTTTGTTCAAAGGACAGAAATAGGTGAGCAGAGAAAAGTCTGATGGACTCTGGGAAAATAATTAGGGAGATTGTCAATAACATACTATTTGTGTTCAGGATGTAAAACACCGAAAAGGAGTTTGCAAGCAGGTCATCTAAAAGTACCAGCTTTTTCCTTGTGAGAGAAGATGGCAAAATTGTAGTTATTGTGATGCTTGCTTGCTTGCTTGCTTGAGATGTTTGCATTACATTTACACGATCACAACACATCCAGGGTTTTGCAACCAGTTCTTTCATTTGAAAAAAATGTGCTTTATACTGGGATGTTAAATTTATGGGTTGAAGAAAAACAAACTTTCCCCAAAGGTATGTTTTTCTCTTACTTTTGCCCTTTTTAAGGAGCTACAACTCTCTATCTTCTGGTAGAAAACCTACTGGAAACATATTGGAAACATACTGAAATCCCCCCAAAAAATGTACAACTGAATGGGTGCTCACTGGCTCTCAGCAGTTATGGTCATAAAGTTACTGAAATACCCCTTTAAAGTGGTGATGACTCAGTAACTAACTGCCTTTTACTAAATCTTCAATACAGAAACTAAGTTTGAAAGCTAACTTAAAATACTTTTTGTGTACTCTCATGTGTGCCAAATTTTATATATATATGTACATACATGCATGCAGATGGAGTTGAGATATAATTTCTGGCACAATCTTATTACTTTATAGAAATGGTATATGCATGTATGTTGTGGATCTCTCCCTCTCTCTCTCCTTCTCATCTCTATCATCTATCTCTATCTCTGTCTCTCTATCATCTCTCTCTCTCTCTCTCTATCTATCTCATCATCTCTTTCTCCCCCCCCCCAATATTTCTGTAAGTGGCCATAAAAAAGTCAATATATTGAAGCCTTGGTCTGTCTGCTATTCAACATAACAGTAATTTCTGTTCCTTTCACTTAGTGCGGTTCCAATGAAGATCAAACCTCAAGGTGATAATGGTTAGTGTGTATTCAGCCCTAAGACGTGCCTGTACTTCTGTTTTATGTGCTTAATATGTATCATTTCATTTAACTTGTTCATTAACTTGCCGCATACATAAACCCTGCTGTTGTGTCTGTTTTCTAGAGAAAGAAACCAGCAATGTGATTAAAGGTGACTCTAAGAGACAGCAAATCCTCTCAGCTGCTAATCAGGAGGGCCAATCTTTAGATGCCAGGTGCTCTGAAATTCCCTTACGATGGTTTTCTGAAAATGTATCATCAAGTTGTCGATTTAGACACTGACATATGTTGTCATTATAATCAAGCCTAAAAAAAACACAAAACCCAAACAAACCACCAAAGTGTTTCTTATTTACAGAGATTTCTGAACTGCTCTTTGGAAAACCTGAATGAAGACTTTGTAACTCTCCTGCTCTGCTTGGATAAAAACAAAGCTGTCATTTCAAGTTTCTCTCCTCTTTCCAGGTCCCCTTTAATTGTAACTCTGGATTTCATATTTTCAAATGATTTTATCTACCAGTGCATAGATTTTTTTTTAATTTGAGAAGTTCAGATTTAAATCAAAACATAAAGAAAACTTTCTAAAACATATTGTACACTAATTCATAGCTCTTGAATCACAACTTCTTGTTTCTTTTTTGTTACCAATTTTCTTTGATGTTTTTCAGTGTATAACTTCACATATTGTACATACTACATTGATAAGAAATAGGCTGAAAGGCATATAGATAAAAAGAATAAAAAAAGAGAATTAATGGCTAAGTTGATGAAAGAAGAAATTATTCTTGCTATTATATGTGTGTCTGGCTCTACTATTTCATTGGCCTTTGTGTTTCAAGGTGGCAGCTAAGGGCTGGAAGTGAATTAAATAAACAATATTACATGTAAAGTAAGAGCAAGCAAATACAGCATAAAGGCTAAGGAACTTTCAGTGAATAGACAAATAATTTCAAATTTTCTGTGTCCTTTTTATTAATAATATTCCTCTGAGATTAGCAAATTTTAAAAAGTGATTTACGGCCAAATAATTTTATGGTTATTATATACTATTAGAATTACTATAGTATTTATAGATTCCTTTCTTATGTGTAAACATTGCTACGTTTTTGTTGTTAGGTGTCGTGGAGTCATAGACAACTTATAATGACCCTATGAACGAAAGGCCTGAGCCCTGTTCATAGAGTTTCCGGAGGCCAATCATTTTGGAAGTGGTTGCCACTCCTGCTTCCAGATCATTGCTATAAACACTTTTTATTGTTTAACTTAATCATAGAAAAAACTCCCACAAAATTAGTTCTGTCCTTATTCTAATGTCATGCTTAAAGATACCATCCTAGGTCTCACAGTTTGAAAAGATAATACTAGGACAACATGTAAGCACTGTGGTTTATGGCTGGGTTTGATGTGCATTTGCATACCTTCTGATCTTTAGATAACTTAAGTACAATAAAGTTACATAAGGATGGTGCAGACACGACACTGGCTGATGTTTCTGCCTTTCCTTATCGACTCCTGGGGTAGCACCTATGGCAACACTCTTCACCTCTCTGGGTTTTGATCAAATCTAGACTCGAGTGTTTCTGATTTGGGAAGGCTGTTCGAGCAGCTTGAAGAAGGGATAAGGTTGAAAAATAGCATGAACAGTCAAAAGAACATTTCATTTCTAAACGGCAATAATATCTGCTTAACTCTAATCAGTACTTGGTTTGGATTTTCTCCATCTCATGTATAACGTGTGGATTCTAAAGGCAGGAGAAAAACATTATATTTGGAGTGAAACTCAGGTACTCGACATATACTACCCGATCAAGAATTCTTGCTTTGTTCAGAGTGTTTTCAGATTACAGCTCTTTGACCTACTGGACATTTGATTTCTTCTTCATCTGATGATATTTTAAGAAGAAGATACCATCTCCTCTGAATATAACTATGATGGAAACAAACTTCACTGTGACAGAATTTGTGTTCTTGGGGCTTTCCTCTCAGCCGACAACACAGCTCATTCTTTTTATTATGTTTTTATTCTTCTACTTATTAACGGTGACAGGGAATATTGTCATCATCACAATTATCAAGCTAGAACCTCGTCTCCAAACCCCCATGTACTATTTCCTCACCAATTTATCCTTTCTGGACATCTGCTATACATCCACCAATGTTCCCCAAATGCTGTCCAACATGGTGGGGAAGAAGAAGACCATCTCATTCTATGGCTGTGCCACTCAGATGTACTTCTCCCTCTCCTTTGGAATGATTGAATGCGTTCTGCTGGGTGTCATGGCTTATGATAGATATGTCGCCATCTGCCATCCTCTTCATTATACTGTAATTATGGACCGAAGCACCTGTGTCCAACTGGCAGCCATTTCTTGGTTCAGCAGCTTTCTGAGCTCCATGGTCATCAACGTCCTCACCTTGAGTTTGCCCTACTGCGGGCCCAATATTCTGAACCACTTCTTCTGTGAGGTGCCTTCCGTCCTGAGGTTGGCTTGCACTGACACCTCACTTACTGAGTTGGTTGTTTTTGTCTTCAGTATCATCATTGTCTTCATTCCTTTCCTCCTCATTGTTGTTTCCTATATCAGAATCCTTCACTCCGTCCTCAAGATGAGGTCGTCCTCTGGGAGGCACAAGGCCTTGTCCACGTGTGCCTCTCACTTGACAGTGGTGGCCTTGTTCTATGGAACTGCCATCTTCATGTATATGAGACCTCAGTCCAAGTCCTCCCGGGCAGGGGGAAAGATCATAGCAGTGTTTTATACTGTGATCACACCGATGCTCAATCCGTTGATTTACAGCCTGAGGAATCAAGATGTAAAAGAAGCCTTCAGGAAAGTTATAGCAAAACAGAGGACTTGAAAGTTGCCAGTGGGAGGCAAAGATTAACAGCTAACCTAAGGTCACTGAATTCTGACTTTGCAGTGACCTAATAAAAGAGAGCTAGAATGAAAGCTCATCCAGATAAACGTGTTTCTTTGAAGGGCAGCACAGAAGGGTGAATGTTTTCTTACTAATTGAGCACATTTAATTCTCTACCTTCATACTCTGTTGTAAGCTGTTGGACTCAAGAAAGGGGCCGGAATGTGAGAAAGCTTAAAGGCAGCTTTATTAAGGGAGCTTCTGGGCAAGATTCCTTGGTCAGGAAAGAAAGGCCAAGGAAGTTGCACCCAAGATGTATTTGGGCATGTTTTTTATAACAGGGTCTTGAAGAAGGGTAAGGACATTCCACTGTAGTTAGTCGTTGGTCATGCCAGTTGGGTGAGGTGAATCTGTTCATTCTTCTTGTTGCCGTGCTGCAATTTCTAGTTTCCTATGCTAACAGACCACAGTCTTCAGTTGACCAATCACAAACTGAAGAAAGTGACACGTCACCACAAGGCACCAAAGGACAAGAAAAATTCATCATTCCCCCCAATCTGGTCTCAGTTTCTGCCCAACAATTGCCTGAAACTAATTGACTAAAATGATATTAATTATCTTGAGTAAAATTATGTATTTCACTTTTATTGGAGAACCTATGCCACTTTGGCATAGAAAATCAGACTTCATTTCCAAAGTAGGTACAGAACTTTCAATAAAATTATTTTAAAAATAACATTTCACATCTATCTTGGTTTTGTTTCGGAGGAATAGGACATGATGCTGGCTTTGTGGTTAACCTTGAGGTTGACTATTCCAAGACACTTTGCAATGAGCACCGATAATACTGTATCGTTACATTTCACTTAAGCTGTGTTTTCCACAGATCTTTTCACAAACGTTTTGTATTCTATTTGATGAGAGACTCCAGGGCTTCTCTGGTTACCTGCTTCTGTAATAGACCAATAAAAGTGATCTTGTTTATTGGCGGTCTTGTGATTGTATTGAAAAAGGATAAACATAATTTTATCCTATGTTAATTAATTGGTTAATTCATTCATTCACTATGTGCCTGAAAAACTTCAACACGAACCCAAAGGTGGACAGCTTCTCCACCAGCTGCTTCTCAGGAGAAAGATGAACAATTTCCTCCTGTGTAATTTAAAGCTTCTGAAACACCTTGAAAGGTCAGCTCTGAATTGTTTCTGACTTGACCTCAAACAACAGCATAACATGTAATATATTTTTCTAAAAAATGAGATTTTCTTTCCTCAGAAATGTACTTTATATCTCTCTCTCATAGATAGATAGATAGATAGATAGATAGATAGATAGATGATAGATAGATATAGTTGTTATGTGCTGTCAAGTCACCTGCAACTCATAGTGACTCTATCTACAACAACCTTAAACCTTGCTCTATCCTGTGCCAATCTTGTTGTCTCTGCTACACCTACCTCCATTACTCCAGCCACTGAATTGATCCATCTCATTGAGGATCTTCCTCTCTTGCACTATCTCTCTACCTTTCTAAGAGTTCTTTGTCTGAACAAGGGCTATCAAAACTAGGGCAGTACAAAGGCATGCACAATTAAGAAATTATGCAACTCTGCTAAAATAGGTAAAATAAGTATCACTTCTGTAGAATTAGTTTGAAAAGTAAGACACATTTCATTAGTAAAACTTTTGAATTCATGATATAATGTTTTTGTTATTATGAACCATTGCGTAAGAGTGGGTTTATAGCTGAGCCTCCAGCAGGTTTTCAGAGGCAATTAATCAAATGAAAGATTTACCAAGTTTCTCCCATAAAGCAATTTGTGGATTTGAATCATGTGCCTTTTGGGTTGGCAGCACAACTTTTTACCAATAAGCCAATATTTGTGTGTGTATTTTCCCTGATATAGACACCATACTTTCTTTACTCTGTGACTAGGGTTAGAAACATAGCTAGAAAAATTTCCCCTAATTCATTTAAAAAATAACATTTCAAGTTGTCTCAAAATATAAAAAAATAAATATTTTTATATAAGTTAGAAATAGAAGTTATATAACTTATAAGTTAAATAACTTATAACTTGGATATAAGTTAGAAATGCATCAGCAAAATAGTTCTGAAAAAGATACGCACAACACTTTAAGGTGTGTTTCTTGATCCATCACATCAGCTCTGGTGATGTCAGGTAACATCAGCTCTATGTAAAATAGAACCTTGCTTGATTCTATACCATCCTCACAGGCTCTGCCCAATAATGTGCTGCAATTTCTGTGCCTTTCTCTTTCTCTGAGGTTATTCCTCCTCTTCATGTCTCCTACACTTTTCCAAGTATGTTACAATTTTCTGAGTACTGATACCTCCTGGTAACATGTGAAGTGTTACTAGTCTGCAGATCTGTTCTCCTTGCCTTTCCCTGAATAGCCACAGAAATTATCAAACCACAGGAAGCAGGAGCTGTAACTCTGTTTCTGTTAGGGCTGAAACTATTCCACTTCCCTTTCCCAGGAATAACTATCTATGAACCGTTATCTTGTAACCAGCAGATGTGCCTACAGCCCCTCTCCCAGGTTCCGTCAATATACTACTCTAAGTAGCTGCTGGTCTCTACTTTAGAGTCAGCTTGGCAATTTCTCCTCAATAAACTTTCTTTCTAGGCTTGAACTGAGTTCTGTCCTTTCCAAAGCAACCTGACAAAGTGTGGCAGTCTTACCACAGTCTTACTAAATCTCTCCAAGGAACATTCTGGCTGCACTTCTTCCCAGATAGATATAGGTCTTTGGTGTGTCTATTGCTCTTCACCAACACCAAAATTCAAAGATATCAATTATTTTTTCAGTTTTCTTTTTTCATTGCCCAACTTTCCTACGCATGTAAAGGGATCAAAAATATCATTGAAGGTATATATAAATGCAAAGTTAATTTTTTACTCAAGAAAAAATATTCACAAAATTATAAAACATATAGAAAAATTGCTGCAAGTGATTTTTTAAACTGTCACTTAAAAAATTCTTGACCTAATTGATTCATGCTTTATTAATATATTTTTGGCGGAATATATTTCTATAATAAATTATGTTTTCTCATTTCCCCATGCCCAGTACTATCACATTTTAATTTTTTTACTAGTTTATTTACAAAATTCTAGTACAAATTTGAACAAATTCTTTCAATTTCCCTCACCCCCATCAAACTGTACAATCCAATGATTAATCTCCATTTATAAAAACATTTAGAGTAAGAAGAATAAAATAATTTTCTGTCAATTTGAAAGAAGTCATTAATTTTCTATGAACTTCATATTATTTTTGTTGGGTGTAGTTGAGTTGCTCTGACTCATAGCAACACTATATATGACAGAGCCAAATAGTGCTTAAAACTGCATCTTGCTCTTAATCTCTTTTATTCTTCAACTCATTTTCCTAGTTACTGTGTCTATCTATCCCATAGTGGGTATCCTTCTTTTTCATTAATTTTCCATTTTTCAAGGAGTGATTCCCTATTGCAGGAACAACTCCTTCTTAATAACAGGAAAAAAGTGTGTGAGATGAAGTCTGGCTATCCTTGCTTCCGAAGAGTGCTTTGACTGAACGTTTTCTAAGACAGATTTCTTTGTTCTTTTTTACAATCCATAGTGTATTTACATTATTCCACAATATCATAATTCAAAAGTATCTTAGTTCATTTATGTACCAAATGCGGTGTTTTTTACATTATCTCTTAGAATAAGACAATGAATGAATCTCTCAAGAAATAGTTTCACAGTTGAATCTAATGGTGAAAAGGAATAAAGTAAAATAATATCAGAAAAGTGGTTTAAGGAAGAGGACTCAAAACGCCAAGCAAAGATTGACAATTTCATAGCTCATGTGTCAGAGAAGAGTTAGAAACAGTTGAACATACTAGAAAAACATTGTGGTGATAGTGCTGCCAAGTTTATTCTAACTCAGTAGTGACTCTGTTTGCCAGAGTGAAATATCTCTGTTGACTTCTCTAGGAATCTGTGCAAAGTATCAAGCAACATCACTAATAATATCATGTGTAAGTAAAATTTTGCTGAAGATTTCTAAAAATAAAACCCAACAAAAACCCAACAAACTTACCGGTACATCAACAGAGAACTGCTAGAAAGTCAAACTGGATTTAGAAGAGGTCATGACAACAGATGATCATCACTGATGATGTTAGATGGATCCTCGCTGAAAGAAGAGTGTCGGAAAGATGTCTATTTTATTGGCTATGCAAAAACATTTGACTTGATATGTGAAAGGTGCAGATGCAATAAGAAAGTGGTTGATTCTCATCTTTACTTTCTTCATCAAGGAGAATTGTTCTTATCAGTGACCTCCATTGTTGTTGTTGTTGTTATGTGCCATCGAGTTGTTTGCGACTCATAGGGACCCTATGTACAAGAGCCCTAAATGCCGTTCTATCCTATGCCAACCTTGCCGTCTCAAACACATTCATTCCCACCATTCCACTCACAGAATTGATCCATCTCATTGAGGGTCTTCCTCTTCTGCACTGTCCCTCCACTTTCCCAAATATGATGTGCCTCTTCAAGGACCAGTCCCTCCTTGCAACATGCCCAAAGTATGTCAAGCAAAGCTTCAGAATCCTTGACTCTAAGGAGCAATCCGGCTTCACCCTCTCCAGGACAAACTTGTTTGTTCTCCTAGCAGTCCATGGTATATTCAACACTCTTCTCCAGCACCACAACTCAAAGGCATCAATTCTCTTTCTATCATCCCTAGTCACTGTCCAACTCTCCAATGCATAGCATGTAATTGCAAAGACTGTAGCCTGGATCAGGCACACCTTAGTCTCCAGCCTGACGTCGTTGCATTTCAGTACTCTTGAGAGGTCCCTCACAGCTGGCTTTCTCAATGCAATTCGTCTCCCGATTCCTGATTGCTGTTACCAAGAGTGTTGACTGTGGAGCCAAGTAAACTAAAACTGTTAACTATCTCAATCTCTTCACCACCCATACTGATGCTGCCAATTG